AACTCCTATTCAATTATATGCGAGCGCTTTCGACAGCTGGTCGTGCTGTCATCATCTAGGCTCTACTCAAACTGAACGTGTCAACCTGTTGTTTGTGCTTTTATGCGGTCCGAACGCCTCAGTGCAAGTACTCCAGGTACTTTAGGTAAATTTGCCTGTATTTGGGCTACACCAGGTAATATTCTTAGTGTTGGATCTTCTCTAGATGTACTGTTTCTAGGAGTGTGTATTGTTTTGTTTAATATATTGAATGTAAGGTCTTGTATGTGATGTTGTTCCTCGATAAGTGATTTATGACTGTTAAATTTATGGATGTTTAAAGTTTTCCCAGATGTCCATATGGTTTCCCTTATTGACTTGTTTTATGACCTTTATGTTTTCTGGTGTGTGGAAATTATGCTTGTTTTGTATGGCTTTGCTGCGAGGTTTTATTTATATATTATTGGGTTTATGTATGCCTTTTTGTGCTCGTCGTACCTTTGGATCAGTTTTTTCTTGGTTTAGCCGATATAGAATTTGTTGCATTTCGAGGATTGTTTGATGTATACCACGTTTAGGTTTTTGTTTCCTTCTTTTTCATATCTGTTTATTTTTTGTGTTTTTTTCGAGTTTGGCTTGTATGTGATGTTGATGTTCAGGGGTTTGAAGATGTTTGTTAGTTTTTTAGTTTGGTGTCCTACGTACGTACGTAATTTATCCACCGTATTCTCCAGATCCGGCCGCCAGCGACTTTTCTCGCTCTCAAACCTCAAGAGAATGCTCGCTCGAAAGATATTTAGCGCCCATGAAGAGGTAATCGTCGAAATAGTGGAAGACAAATCGTACAATAAAAATAGTATCGAAATATTGTGTGACCACCACAATCTTTGTACCGCCCTCGAAGACAACTATCTGTATCTGTAGAGTAGGGAGGGTGATTGTAGGCCCACAGCACTTAGGCTATCGCACATCCTCCCGAGGAGTTGTCCTCCTGGGTCATCGTCCATCCTGTTCTTTCCAGGAAGGTTGACAGACATCTTCTTTTATCGGCAGGTGTGGGCCAAGACTCGCCGAACACACACGCTCTTTTTGACGATAACTCCGGACACTCGCATAGGACATGCCTGACAGTTTCATCTTCCTGTTCACACATCCTGCATCGACGTGTTTCCACTAGCCCCATATCATGGAGGTGTTCGCCAGGTACTTCTTCGGTGCCAACTTCCCAGGATCGCCCTGGCAAAATTGCATTTTTTGATCTCATCCCATCTCATGTGTGCAAGGTCCCGTTCCCTCATGTGGTTCACTATTGGAATTTGGACGACCGGACGACTTTGTACTACCGACGTTTAGACTCAGGAGACTAAAATTCAGCCACGAGAATATAATATTCAATCCATTTTGTGCTTTTGCATAAGTAGAGTCCCATGTGTTACCAATATTTTCTCAATTATTTCACTTATTCACTCATCGCTTATTTTGAACCTATTTCGGAATTAATCTTCGCATTAATCTCCGCTATAAAACGTTATGAAAAAAATCCATTATCGATTTGTAGTATCTAATGATGAGAGTAAATGACGGCTCTGCAATAAGTGATTTCTTGAGAAGTACTATCGCTTTTCAAAACGCTTAGCTGAATAATTCCTCTCTATACACAGTAAGCAAAAACCTACAAAATTCTTAAAAAATAATATGAACGATCCTTATGAGGTTGAAAATTTTTTGAAGGTTTTGTCTAGTACAGGGGTCTCCAAACTACGGCTCGCGGGCCAAATCCGGCCCGTCAGTNGAGATATGAGTTCATTAATATTTTTTATATTTCTTAGTTCCAAAGTAAGTAATAAACCTTTGGGTACATACGTTTTTACAAAAAGGAACACTAATTGTTCTCTCGCATTTGGCTAGGATGTCGTGTATGTGTGTCAGATATGTGAGATATGCGTTCATTAATATTTTTTATATTTCTTAGTTCAATGGGAACTAGATTGACAAGTTTCGCTCCAAAGTAAGTAACAAACCTTTGGGTACATACGTTTTTACAGAAAGGAACACTAATTGTTCTCTCGGATTTGGCTCGGGTGTCGTGTATGTGTGTCAGATATGTGAGAGGCGAGTTCAACGTCCATAGTACATACTGATAGGTGTTTAATTTTCTGATATTGAATAAACTAGCCTCCTTATGTGAGCTATCAGTTGGATGTCTTCTATCTTTCTTCAATACTATTTTAAGAATGTGTTTTGTATCACTAGAAGATTATGTAAGTATGTTTTATTCAACCCATCCCAAATAATAATACTGATTCAGCTAATGCATCGTATGTCATCAGTAATAAATGTTTATTTATTATGTTTCTGAGTTGGTAGAATTTAATAATAAGTTTTTTCACGAGAAAATCTACATGTTTGTTCCAACGTACATGTTGGTCAAGCATCACACCCAGATATTTTATTGTATCAGTTTTCTTTATACGTGGACAAGAACAAATTATAGGAGTTTGGCAATTGGGGGTATGTATGAACATGTTTCCCTCTAGTGGTTGGTAGTGTTGACTGAAATTTAGCCACGAGAATATAATGTTCAATCCATTTTATGCTTTTGCATGAGTTGAGTCCCATGTGTTACCAATATTTTCTCAATTATTTCACTTATTCACTCATCGCTTATTTTGAACCTATTTCGGAATTAATCTTCGCATTAATCTCCGCTATAAAACGTTATGAAAAAAATCCATTATCGATTTGTAATATCTAATGATGAGAGTAAATGACGNTTGCGACTATCCTAGTCTAGAAATATAGTTAAGGGCAGAAATTGGCCCTTGGAATAAACTGAAAAAATAATTATGGCCCAAAGGCTTCAAAGTTTGAAGACTTCTGGTCTAGTAGGTAGCAGGTTTTTGTATGACATTCAAATCATTTATGACAAATTTCTTCTGATTATTTGAAAGAGACGGATACCTACTACTTGAGAAGTTACCATTATTTATCCTAGGAAAGAAATGAATTCATTTAGAATTTTAGAAGTGGAGTCATTGATAATGTTCAGCAAAATTGAATAAGTGTAGAAAACGTCCTGCTCAGATATTTATACACTAGTGAAGACCAAGCCGTTCAAAGTGAAGCCACTATTTAGTTTGATTGGCATCAACTTACCTTCAACTAGAAGTTTTTCCTGTCTTCTTGACACCCTCCACGTCGAGGAGCGGGCCAGATACCAAGATCATGAATGGGGACATGAAAACTGAAGCTACAGTGAAAGGGGAGAATCGGAAGAGGACGGATTGACTGGTGTATATGTAGACGCCGGAGCGAGAATGGAGTACGGGGAAATGTGTATAGACTGGGACTATGAACGGAGTGAAGGTGAATGGACATTGGAGATTGATAGGATCCCCGGACACATCAGCGTAAATGAGACAAAATGGATAGCGATTGAGGAAGTGATTGAAATGTGGGGCGCGAATTATAGTGTAGAAGCGTTTAGATACTCTGTCACGGGTGGGTTAAATACAAAAGGATGACGAGAATCCAGGTATGAAAAAAGGCCACGGACCTGCATTGTCAAGATGAGACAACATATGGGGACTTATATGGGAAATAGGAAAACCCATGATGAATTCGCTAAAGAAATGTATAGGGAATAAATTGTGTGGGACGCGAAAACAAACTATAGCAAGAGTGAGAAGCGAAAAAGAGTGAAGGAATCAGACTAGAACGGTAGACGTCATGGGAGACTGGCATGACCGGACGGCTGTTCTACTGTTTCTGTAGAATAGTCGGGTATGAATCCTTGAATCTGACGTAGAAGGCTGCACAGCTGCTTGCGGGGCACGGCAATTTCCCAAGATACCTAGCTAGGTTTCACCTAGGACCGGAGTTGTTATGGCTATGTGGCTGGAGGAAACCTGAAACGGCAGTGCACATTATTCAACGATGCACGGGTGGCGCGTATGAAAGAATGAATGAATGTTCAGAGACTGTAGTGAGGAAAATGGTGAATGGTAGGTTGCCAGATTGCTTTGGTGGAATGATGATCTCGCAAATCTCGAATAAGTTGGCAGAAGCTTGTGAATACAGTTATGAGATTTAGGTTGAGAAACATGAAGTAAACGGTCATTTTGTAATCGATGAATCGGGCTCTTTTTTTTTTCGCTGATACGTTCCTCCGTACGGCCAGCGCTAGACGCCCGTAGCATGGTAGTTGGGGGGAGGGAGGGGGATGAAGAAAAATGGGTTCTTTTAGCACTGGCGGCGCTGGCTAAACTGTAGTGAGGAAAATGGTGAATGGTAGGTTGCCAGATTGCTTTGGTGGAATGATGATCTCGCAAATCTCGAATAAGTTGGCAGAAGCTTGTGAGTACAGTTATAAGATTTAGGTTAAGGAACATGAAGTAGTTGACGCTCATTTTGTAATCGATCAACCGGACTCCTCTTTTTTCTGTGATACGTTTCTCCGTGCGGCCAGCGCTTTTGGCAGTGGCGGCGCGGGCTAGTGAGAGGATACATATTTTTAAAAGCCTCCGAGCTAGGAATATCCAAGCATTCACAGTTACATGTCTTCTTTATAGAATAAAATGCTATATGGACAAGTTTCTGAATGACACTAACCGATTTGAGTATCACAACGATTAAATACAGATATTCGTCCTACTTTTCTATATTTTCGTTTAAAAGGAGAATATATTGAGGAGAAAGTTTTTTTATAAAAAGATATTTCTATACCCATAAAACTAAAGTATCATCTATTACAGTTTGTGGTTGGATTCTTCAGCTTCCTAGTACTGCTCTGTTGTGAGGGTGCCACAGCAAGTTTCAGAGCAGCACTTGTGCCAATTCATGCATCTTTTGGACTGACGACATTTATGCTGGCCATAGCAGCAGCGTTGACTGGACTCACGGAGAAAGTAATGTTTACTCTGAAGTACGTATTGAAAAAAGCACCTACACTTCACTGGTTAATTTATTTGATTACTCTTGCTTTTCTCTTAAATCTGAGAATTTTCCACTTAAAATATGTTCTTGGTGGCATTCATGAGAAAAATTTGTATGTTTCAAATGACGAAAGTATTAGATTGTTATAGAAACATTTTTGTTGCTTATTGGTTTTCAATACGAGTTTATTTAGTTTTATTTTCCTAATTGATTTGTTCAAAAAATAACCCGCGTTTATAAAGACAATGAACTAGTGGACATAATACTGACAAACGGAAAGTGGCAACAAAATGCTGCCAAAGCAAGTCATTTGTATGCGAAAATAATAAACATACTGGTGTTTGATGTGTCAACTTTTATGCAAGTTCACAAGCTGTTGAAATAAATGAATCAACTTTGAAATCACCCTGTATAATATACAATAATAATTTTTTTCAACGTATCATACAGACTCGTCTATAGTAATGAAACGATTTGAAAATATAAACCACTTTTGGAATCCGCTAACTAAAACGGGTGGAAATAATCTCTTAAAGCCACATTTGGTGGCGTATTAACTTCATTAGCTACATTTGTTTTTTGATTTTGATCAGTAATGTTCCAGATAATAACTTCATAAAAACCAAGAAAAATAACATTACAGTTTGTTTTTAGAGTAAATGACGGACTTTGTGGACTGAAATTCTATAGTGAAATCAATTTTGAAATAAACTATTCACAAGGATGTGTAGATCATGCAAAGAAGTAACTCTCAGACACAAATTAAAAAAAGTAGCCTTTTCGAAACAACGTCTTTTATATAAACATTGAATTATACAAAAAGACACTTTTTCATATTAAGTTCGTACTCCAAACATCTGTTTTTATACTTTAATCTCTTCAATTTCAATACAATAAGCCTAATGCAATTCAAACGGAAATTTACGCTATTGAATTGTGTGCGGAGAGATTGGAAGAATCCAATCTCATACACAAGTCAAAAAAAATATTCTCGGACAGTCAAGCGGCGTTGGAAGCTCTTGGCTCCTACCGAGCAACGTCTAAATTGGTAGGAAATTGACGAAAACGACTCTCCTCGATAGGAAGACTTAACAGATTGTATGTGGTCTGGATTCCTGGCCATACTGGCCGGGAAGTCAATGAAGCTGCTGACTCCCTTGCAGAAGAGGGTGCTGCAAGCAGCTTCATAGGACCAGAACCTGTTATTGGCATCGCTTTAGGCTTTGCCAAACAAAGATTGAACACCTGGATGGCAAGAAGATTTATGGACTTTTGGCAGAATCTTCCCAAATTGGCTCACTCCAAGGCGTTTATTCACCCTTCGAAGCTTGATACCAAACAGTTGTTGGACTACAGTTAGGATGAACTACGATGTCTAACAGGCCTTCTTATAGGTCATTGTCATTTAAATTATCATATGCAGAGTGTTGGACTGTCGGAAGACAGTGTGTGTCGTCTCTGTTTGGAAAATGATGAAATATCAGAGCACATGCTTTGTGATTGCCCCGCTGGGGACCGAATCAGGTTTTTAGATTGCGGCAAAGCTGTACTCTTACTATCTGACCTGAAAGACCACTCACCATACAAACAAATTGGCTTCGTTAAGAAGCTGGGTTTATTTGGCCGAGTGTGAATAGGTGTGAGTTACAATAAACCCTTGCGGGTTGCGGTGGAAGGTCGAATAGACCCACTCACTTTGGACCTAACGTAACATAACCTAAGTATACGAGACGAGATATTGAATCATTTATTTTCTCTGAAATTAAGATTTACTCATTTAAAAAATTGATATTAGGTAGATACTGAAAGTTACAAAAATTATAATAATGATCCTGGTTATTTTTAACAAAAAGATTTTTTTGGGCGCTGAATTAAAAGAAGAAAATTGCTGGCAATGTTTTAGCAAAACTTTCAATAATTTTGAAAACACTATTTAATTACTTGTGTGAATTAGCACACAAATAAATAGAAAAATGTCGTCTTTTCTCTCAGACCTCAGTATCTTGATCATTAATATTTCTAAATTTCAAAACTGAATTAATAATCTTTTGAATCGACTTCGAATAACAATTAAAAATAGGATATTTTGGAAAAATTTTCGCATTAACAGCAGAACAAATCAATAACTGATTACCTCTTTATCATCATTCTCATAGATGATCTTTCATTTTTGTATAATTCATTTTGAATTTCACCTGAATAAATAAATACTTCCTCAATAGTTGTGGTATTATAATAAGAAAAGTTTTCATAGGTTTAGTGTTAAATTACTATCAATAGTAGCTCAAATAATTGAAAAGAATACAATGCGTTGAATTGAAGTTACTTTTATTAAATGAAACATACAAATATGTCTATAATATTGCATCTCTACAAATTGAAAGCACGTAGAATGGCTGCATGCCTTCATTTCGCCTGCAAAAAGTTATTCTCAGAAGGAATATAAATTGCAGAATTACGCAAGAGCGTATGAGATTTCCACTCACAAATGAGTTACATAAACTTAAAAGTCAAGGTTCTCCATATTAATTCTACATTCAATTTATCTGTTCGTTGGCATATGTTAATAAGAAAATTATTATCAACTGAATTTCCGTGTATGCATGTATTTACGCAACTTTGAAAAATTCCTTCTTTAAATTATGCAACTTTTTTAGTATACCTTATTAGTCGTCTGAAGAAAAAGGAAATAATGAACTATTTTCTATTTTCGTTGCATTCCTCTTCATATGTTCCTTATTCCAATATTTTTAATACTTCCGAAAATAGTTAACCAAGTATGGTATGATTTCAAAGAGAACCTAGGATGATAAATTGGACCAGACCAAGATGAATAAAATTGTGATGTAACACTGATTAAATATTGTTTTGTCAAAACTCTAGGTACATTAGTGTTTGTTCCAAAAATAAGGCGAATTTCAATTTGTCTCAAATATAATTATTATCTCCAAAATAATAATTTAGTCATCAATTTCTATTCAGTTCCCTTCAAAGTAGTCCCTCTTACATATAATACACTTTAGCCAGCGTTTTTTTACAATTCTCGGAGCAGTTCTGATATGAACTAGATGTCCTAGTTCTCTTTCTTCTGTGACTCGGTTTTCATCTCATCATTAGTCGCAAAACGCCGTCCTTTCATGGTTCTCTTCAATCTTAGGGACAGGAAAAAGTTGCAGGGGGCCAAATCTGGTTAATAAGGTGGCTGATGCGTGATTACTGTGTTGTTTTTGGTCAAAAAATTACGAACAAGCAAAAACGAGTGATCAGGTGCATTATCATGATGCAAAAGACATGAATTGTTCTTCCACAATACCGGGTGTTTTCTTCGTATTGCTTCTCATAAGCGGCGCATAATTTTAAGATACGACCATGTGCCAAGAACTCATGATGCACTATGACACGGTAATCGAAGAAAACAGTGGACAAAACCTTGACATTTGATCGAACTTGGCGTCCTTTTTTTGGTTTTGGCACTCCTGGAATTGGTTTCGATGTCATTACCATATAGGTACCCATAATTCGTCACCAGTTATGACCCTTTTAAGCAAATCTGGATCGCAGTTGACGTCAATCAACAATTCCTGAGCGATGCCCATGCCACGATTTTTTGGTCAAAATTCAGCAGTTTTGAAACGAATGTCGCTACTACACGCTTCATGTCCGAAATTCCAAAAAAAATTGCATGACATCAGCCAACCGATATGCTAACATCAACAGCAACTTCTCTAATAGGGATTCGACGATTCTTCAAAACAATGTTGTCCACTTTGTTAACATATCTATAGGTTGTTGATGTGCTGAGGCGTCCAGGGCGAGCGTCGTCATTCACATCTTCTCGACCTTCTGTGGAAAGCTTGTACCCCTTCTAACCAATTTTTTGCTTCAGAATGCAGTCACCGTATGTAACTGTCAATATTTCAAGTATTTTTAAGCACTTATTTCCATGTTTCTTTCAAGGTATTAGTGTTGGTGGTGTCAAAGCTATTTTCCGGGTTTTTTGACCGTGGTCTGCAGGTGTTTGTGCCTGTCGTTTCGTCTACGACTGCAGTAGACATCAAAGGCGATGAGCTAGCGGTCGAAAAGTTCGAGAGAAACTGTTGTTTCTGCGTTGGGAACAACTCCAGCACTTCGGCCGTTTCCTCATCGCCTTTGAGCATATCTACCGCAGTAGTAGACGAAACGTCAGGCATAAAAATCTGCAGAGAACGGCCAAACTACCCGGAAAATAGCTTTAACAGAATGCCGTGAAAGTTTACATTATTAGTGTATTATTCATTATGGAATCTCTAAACTATTTAATTTACCTAACATTTATAAATTCAACGATAAAGTGTCATTTGAACTGAATATATTCCCTTGTAATTGATGAAACATTTTGATATTTCATTCAAATTGCTTCAATTCAAATATGTGTACAAGAAGTTTGTCTCAAATGCGTTCTGGTCTGAAACTATATATTTCTTTGAGAATCTTGAACGTACTACATTCTTTCTTGGTACAAATTTGAAATTATATCCATCTAAATGTTTCAAAAAGACCATATGTCATGTGTATTTGACAAAAATGTCAATACTTGAAATGTTTTCAAAATATAACACCACAATTTTTATACATCTTGGGCCTGATGAACCATTATTTTTTATATATAGCTCTAATATCGTCTAAACTAAAATTCTATAATAGTAGGCACTGAATTCTCAGAAATTTTATTTCATTAAAACGAAAATATTGTTGTCAGGTTGTGATTTTATATATTTTATCATTTTCTATTCAAATCATACAGCAGCTAAATGGTCATAGAATATCGGGCAACATGTTTTATTCATTAATGTAACTTCCTGCTAATGAAATGTATTCAACAGCATCAATATTTATTGAATGAATATAAAAAAAATTCAATTATATTCTGCGACTGAAATTTATAAATGACAACGTTGCATACACAGAGATGTTTGTTGAGCGGGTTTTTAGGAAAACGGCTTGTTACACTTCGAGTCCAAGAATATTAGAAACCACTACGAGGAAATGGACGCGCAAAGGTTCGAAAATTGTCTGTCGTCGTTATGGACAATGCCTACCACAGCTGACAATTGGAGCAGTCACCAACAACTGCCTGGCGAAAAGCTGATATAATTAACTGACTGTCTCAAAAAAAATACTATTCGACGAAAATATGTTGTACACCGCCTCCCTACGTACCATTGTGAGCTAAACACGATCGAGCTTAAATAGGCTCAAATAAAGAACCAAGTGGCGAGAGAAAACTTTACTTTCAAAATGGATGAAGTAAAAGGCCTACTAGCTACTGCAATAGAAAATGGCACACCCGAGTCATGGAAAAAATGCATCAGAAAGAAGAAGACACTAAGGGACATTGTAACTGAACCATTGATTTTATTACCTTGATCAATAATCGCGATAGTTGCTTATCATAAGACTAGTATTCTTCAGACGATAATGAATAATACAATACTGTAAATTTCCGTACGCCACTGCAATTGACAGATTGAGGCAAAACGTCACTGTCATTTCTGAGAATTTAGTGCCTACTGTTCTGGAATTATACTATAGTGAAAGATATTTCATATTTTTCTGTTTTCGTTTAGAGATCGATATTCATCACTCGGTGAAGAAGCTATCGTAGTGAACACCATAGGCATGACATTAGTTGCTCTTGCTATAGTTGTAGCGTATATTCTGCAAAGGGACGAGTTCCGGTTCAGAGCACACATCCTCATACGTTCAGGAGATCTCTAAAATACGGCAGCACTAATCACAGAGAAAATCACAATCACCTGTTTTATGATATTATATAAACTGAATGCGCTTTTGAGAAAACGAAATCAGTAAATCGAATTCACTTTTAATGAAAGCTATACAGTTACTCACTAGTCGTAACAGTTGATTGAAACACTGATTTACTGACTACTCGCTTTCTCGATAGAATGCAGCGACCGAAAAAATAATTGTATGATTTTATGAATGTTATTTACAAGACTATATTTTTTATGATTGTAAGTGTTTATTGGTATATTTGTATATTTTTCTTGCATGTATTCCATATATACAGTGTCACACATAAAGTTCGCGACACATGGAAGTTTTTTTCATTAGTAACTATACTAAAATTTGACTTCGCATTTAGTTTGTGTTTGAAAAAGGAGTAAAAAACGGCATCTTTCCTGTTGTCATGGGCTACTAAACCTGTCAAATTTCACCTTTTTTTTTGAAAAACCTCAAAAATCCTCAAAGAAAAAGTTATACAAATTTTATACCTCTGCTCGAAATTTGGACTCTCTACTGTCACTGTGACTTTTTTCCATATTTTTTTAATTTTGATGAATATCTTGCCCAGAAAATGCCCGCATTGGCCTGTTACCAGAAAAAGAAATAAATACACCTCCAGAAATTCGTCTTTGTTGTTGCAATAGTCGTATTCCTTTTTTTTTGGCAGATTTGTATCCCATTAGCTGCAGATGAAGTCGAAATATTTTGATGCATACCCTGTTGAATGTAAACTGTGAAAATAAAGAATATAAGATTTATGAAACTAACTCAAGAAGCGTTATTATTTGCTCGATAACTACATCTATTTTCACTATTAGATGTGTAAATAACAACAAACCAAAATTACTATAACCAAATTCACAACAAATCATCATAACATCAAAAATCTCATAAAGAACCCGAATTCATCATTCGGTATGCCGTCCTTCCCGTTCTATACAAATTATAATCCTTTCATTCACAAGACTTTGTGGCATTCTCTTTGTTTGCACACTTTTTGCTTCAGATAATCCAATAGAAAAAAGTATATCGGAGATAAGTCCGGTGATCTTGTTGGCCAATAATCTTTCCAATCTCGTCCTATCACTTTGTCCCTAAACATCTGACTGAGACACTGTTTCACGTCTACCGTTTGGTGGATCGGTGTCCCATCAAGCTCATACCACAAATTTCATCTAACACTTAACGTGGTTCCTTGAAACGATTATCCAAAGAGCAAGTTGAATGTTTCCAATATCCTTCCCACGGTACTAAAGTTAATATTTCTTCATGTATGTCGGTGATTGAAAATACAAGTAACGTCTCGATATGGACATTGTCGCCACATAAAAGAACGATTTCCAATTGGTTTTGTATCATTGTACATAAAACTCATGTGTGAATCATAAATGTAAGAAAATTGTTACACAAACCAACTCGATTTATTAAACGCAATAATTTGACATTAACCAAAACTAAATATTTATTTCAAAAGCCTACTAATGGAAAATTTTATTTCGATTTGATTAGTACCTACTATTTTCTTCCCGGCATGCTGCATTAGTCTTTTAATGTTTAAAATCACGAAATTTTATGTCATGTTTAGTACAAATCGCTAGAACAAGTCTTTTGAATAGTTAATAAACTGTAGGTCAATGTTTTGTATACAGAAAAGTATGATATTTCGGGTTAGTTTGTAACTGAATTATTGGTCAGAAAAATAATCAAACTAGATAAAAATCCATTAAAAAAAGGAATACGAGTGTAATAAAAAATGAAGAGAAATACGTTTATTGCATTACCGATATATTAACATCCATACCTACATTGAAAATCCGAATTAGTATACAATGAAACAAACTAGATGAACTTTGCCACAACAAAGACGAATTTCTAGAGGTGTATTTATTTATTTTTCTGATAATAGGCCAATGCGGGTATTTTCTGGGCAAGATATGACGGTGAAGTCTCGTATTCATCAGAATTATGAAATTTGAATCATGTTTCGTTCGACTCGATAGAGCGAAAGATACGAAAAATTAAAAAAAATGGAAACAAGTCGAAGTGACAGAAGAGAAGGGTTCAATTCTGCATCGACGTGTTTCCACTAGCCCCATATCATGGAGGTGTTCGCCAGGTACTTCTTCGGTGCCAACTTCTTAGGGTCGCCCTGGCAAAATTGCATCCTTTGATCCCATCCCATCTCTTTAGGGATTGAGCATGGGTGTGACGTTTGGCTAGTTCTGCAATTGTCGAAGTTATCAGGTCGTAGGTGAACAATAAAATCGGATTTCATTAAAAAAAAAGTTTCTATGGTAGCCTACTACCATAGGGTTAAGGAATAAGGTCAACCTTCAACTTTGTTTTGAGAACTCTGATTTAACAACTTAATTTCACTCACAAGAGTGAGTATTATCATCATGGTATGATCATCAGTTTAGGGTACATTTTTGTAATGATTACTTTATGTAAGAACTACGAATTCAGTTATCTAAGACTGACATTTATATGTAAATAATAATACAATACTATCCCGTTATAAGCAATTGCTTTCAATTGTTTCAATATAGATTCATTGGAATCTATTTTTGTCCCGTTATAGTCGACACGTACGACAAGTAGACTATTTACACAAAAGACGTAGACATAAAACATGTCTGTTTATTTATGCCAATTCGTAATGTACATAAAACAGGGACATTAACAAATGTACGTTAACTCAATTTGTACAATTATTTTCAATTCAGGTTGAAGACCCGAATGAGAGAAGGTAGTACGAGTAGGTGTATTCAATGAAATTATTCATTCATAAAAATTGATGATTCAATTTTTCAATTTAGTAATGAACGCAATAGTCCGAGAACCTATGCAACATTCCATTTCAACTCTTGCCCTACAGCTAGATTTAATATTTGAATATTCAAAACAAATCATCATTTTCGAGAAACACGAAAAAGATCAGTTTTTTATCGACCTTTTTTTGGGTAATGGTTACCTTCCACAATCTGAAAAAATATAAAAATTATAATGGAGAACTTTATACAAGTGTAGAAGGGCAAACTTTTTAGTTTACCCCGATAAGTTACTGCGTAAAAATCAAAGTATTTTTCACAAAGAAAAATCTTCTATTTATCAGTAACTTGTCGTATTTAANTTATCTCATCATCTGGATTGAAACAGTGATCTGACTAGTTGAATATTCATTGTTATAGTAAAAATACGCCAAGAAGTTGAGTTATACAAACCGTAAACGTATTAATATTGTACTCATTAGCAAACCCCACTAGTTTTTATAAAACTTATTTTAGCTTCAGTTTTCAGTTATATTGTCCTGTAAATGGGTAATTGTTGGACAATGAAGCTATTATTATTATCGAAGTATGCGCTGGTCAGGCCCTATCCCCCGAAGCTCCGATACATTCGGGAGGGCGCACCAGCATTATCAACCAATGACCACTCCCCACACCGTGGGGTAAGTGATTATTGGGTCCTAGAATCATGTGCCTTGAGCAAGCGCAGTGAGCCAAGAATGATAGCCTTCTGCATCTGTGCGCCTAAGATTTCTGCCTTAGAGCGGCAAGCGGATATGATTTCAAGATTCGAGACTAGAAAGGGCATCATTCCACCAAGGACTTCAATAATCAGAACAACCATCTTGACAGAGTAATCTGGACAGAGTCTGCGGAGTTCGAAAAGAAAATCTCGATATTTCATCCGTTTTTCCTCCTCTTTTCTGACGATTCGTCTCGCCAGGAGCTGAAAACTCCACTACAAATATCGTTTTGCTCTAGTGGTCGAGAAGGACTAAATCAGGCTTATTAGATTGTATGAGCCTGAGGGTGGGGAACGAACAGTTCCAATAAATTCGCCACTTCTCGTTCCCCACAACGGATCCAATATCCCCCGGAGCGTAGGGCAACACTGGTGTCTCATCAATACCGTAAGAGTGCTGTCCATGGTAATATAGCACTCTTAGGGCCGCTTTATGTCGATGGATATAGGCCGAGACCGCATATGCTGAACATGCTGATAGCAAGTGCATTAGGGTCTCGGGCGCCTCGCGGCAGGCCCTGCACATTGTGTCAGAAACCTCTAAACCCATCACGCAACTGCGGTAGACTAAGGTGTTGAAGATATATTCCTGGCACGCCATGATGAACCCCTCCGTTTCCGACTTCAGCCCACTCGACCTGAGAAAAGCGAACGTCAGGCGCTTTCATAAGCCAAGGTCTCCAATATTATTGAAGAAGACCCCATGCATTGGCTTATCCTTGTGTCTCCGCAGAAGTAAGGTGATCTCTGCGGCTTTTATCTGAGACGATTATTATTATTATTAGTATTAGTTGAGAAATCTCAATTGTCTTAAAATATCTAAGTATGAATTGGGATTCCGACGTTTTTTGTTTTTTGCTGAAATGGACAAAATTTTCAACGGGAAAACCATAGCAGGGGTAAGACGATATGTAGGGAACAACGATCGTCCTTGTGTTGGCATCGAATCAACATTCACATTAGGGGTTGTTTCACGAGTGGGACTCACTGATCAACTAGCTGACTAGAAGATGTGGGAACTCATTGAGTTTTCCTAGTCCCTATGATACTACCTATTTCTCATCTCAAAAACAATATTGATAGTCTCCATACAACTCTTAACCAAATTGGAGATAAGGCTGAAATATGGTACAATAACAATAAGCTCAAACTGAATAGAATGAAAAATCAAACCATTATTGTCTCCACTCATAATAATACATGAACTGGAAGTTCTGTGAATCTTTAGGGAATCCCACTAGACGACTCGTTAAATTGATCAGTCATATTAACGAGATTCTATGTCAAAATATATCGGGTCATATATGTTTATAATGTTTAAATCTGTTTTTCCGTTAACCAGCGCACCCCTACGAACGACCACCCTCAGAAGTCGAATCTTGTGCGAGCTAAGGACTAACGAGGTTTTACCTTTTAACGTGTGATTCCTTACACGGTTATAAGGGTTATAATGTAATCTTATTGATTAGATAGTGATGCAAGAGCGAACTGTTTACGATTTGATATTATTGTCACTTTGATTTTTTCTGCCTTATTTATCTAAATATCAAAGCCCTCCAGTTCTCGACTTCAATAATTACCTTTAAGGTCTATTTAACCCTTCCAATAATGAAAACTGGAACTCCACAGTTACGTCTAATATTTTACTATTGAATAAAACCAATCCAGAATTATTTCTATTCTGTAAATGTTTTCACCAAATAATTTTCTAATGATTTTCCAA